CACCTTGAGACAGGTGGCCGGCATTTTGTGCTCTCGTGTCATTCAGTCATTGGCCCTTTGGGGAACGGGGTTTAACCTTTCTGGAGAGGCAGCTCCTTTGACTGTGGGCAGTTCTCTGGAGAAGGAGGAAGCTGTAAGTCATTAGTAACTGAAACTCACAGCAGCTGCAGTGTGGGTGTGCTGGCCTGGGGAAGAGGATCTGAGTCTGGCGCCACAAGTGTTCAGTGCAAGGGCTGAAGAGAATAGCCCCTGGAAGTCCATGAGGACAGTTGCTGTGGGAAAATGCTTAATATTGCCCTGTAGGTAATGCTGTTTCTTGTCCTATATCTTCTAAGGAAAGCAAGTATAAAAAGCAACTTTTTGAATTGGGAAAATTTGAGTATTTAGCTCAGTGGTTCTCAGAACCATCTGGAGAGCTAGTAACAATACTAACAAGTAATACTCCATCTTACTTGAATGAGTCTGCGTCTCTGTGTAATTTGTTAGCTTTCTAGGTGATTCTCATACACACCAAAGTTTGAGAACCACTGCTTTGAGTGAACCCAATGACTACCGAGAAGCAGATAATTATAATCCCTCATCCTTGGACAACGCTTTACATTCTAAAAAGCGCATATTCAACCTTACAATCATCATTGATCCTCTGCAGCGTTTAAGGGATCCGTCACTGTCGTGTTTAAATGTAGCCCAAGTGTGTGGGTTCAAATCCCAACTCCACCACTTCCAGGCTGTGTGACTTTGCACTAGCCACTTACTGTCTCTGTGCCTCAGTTTCTTCATCTGTAAAATGTGGATGCTAATAGTATCTATCTCAGAGTGAAGATTAAATGAGGGCATATATATTAAGTGCCTAGCATGGTGCCCAGCACACTGCAAACATATTGTAAATGTTCATAAAAGGATAAAATAAAACAAATAAACAGACCGTCATAGATGGCGTTTGGGGGAAAAAGGAGTCAGATATTAGGACCTCTTAACCAAGCTTTGGACCTTAGAGAAATTCTATCTTGTCATCTCTAGGCATGGTAGAAGTTTTAGTTAATTTCTGAGGTGTTCATTTCTCTTCAACTTTTTCTCCATATTCTCTCCCCTCGAATAGGAGGGACTTGGGAAGTCATCAGAATTCTATCGCAGAAGAGACGCTGCATCTGTCCAACCACCACCTCAGATTCATCTTTTCGCTGTTCCTTGGCAAAGAACAAGAAGCTGAGCTGTTTATGGACGGCGCCCCACCCGTGGTCACATATGGATGAGAACAACGCCACCATCCATCTTTCCTGTGAAAATGAGTGCTGACATATTCCTCTATTTTGGCTTCTATCTCCGTAGAAAGAAGGGGGCACATGGGAGAATTCTTAGATCCAGAATCCAGTATTGTACATCACGTGCAATTAAATGCTCAAAGAATCCTTTTTAATGACGAGGGAAATAAGTGGATTTTCTTCTTCCAGCTGTTACCATCTTGTCCAAAGCTGATTGGCTGACATCTGGATTCAGCTCACAGATGCCTCTCTGGCCTCTGTGTTGCATTTAATGCTCCCAAATATCTTGCATCACTTAATATTTGCATAACTTAATAATTCCATAAGAATAAGTATAAAAAAGGGGGTTGCATTTTTGCAATGCAAAATACACCACTATCCCTGCTTAGGGGTGCATAGTCACTGGGAAGGATCTTGTAGTGTGATCATCAGCACTTCCCTGGTTTCATTGCCTGATGACTTTTTAGAACCTATCCTATACCCTGGTTAAACATAATTTTGTTTTCTTAGTGTCATCTCGAACATGTCCTCGTGTAAATGCTCCCAAACTAAAACAGCTTGGAGTATCACAGCAGTGGTTTGGCCTTATTTGCTTTGTTTTACCATTTTTAATTTATTTTCTAAACGTATTGTATTTTAGGTGTGTTTCTCAGCACTATAATTAATAAATGCATGGATAACTTTGTTACTAGACCATGTTTTAAAAACAGTGTTAAATTATAATGATGGTAAATGTTAAAATAGCAGCCAAGAGAAGCCATAATTCATTTGAAGAAATTTTGTGTGCAAATTTTAGGTCATGGACAAAGGATTGTGTTGCTTTTCTGCTTCACCAGCTCAAGTGTCTCCCCCACATCACAGCAATATAACCAGAGTGTATGATTCACTCCACCCGCTGGCTTTTAAATGATGTGATTCCTCTTGAAAAGGTAAAATTTAGGGAGATTCATGTGGTTTCAAAATGCGTGCCTGCAGTGTGACTTTATATCATGCAATTTCAAGTCTACATGAATAAAACTTGCATACAATGCAACCTGTTTCAGGAGGACAATTTGGCATTGACTATCCAAATTTAATATTTTAGTACATAATGCTTTCACTTAAAAATTCCACTGTTAGGAATTTAGCCTAAGAATATTGTGATAAGGGTAATTTATAAATACAGGCTGATATGATATATAAATTCAGAGTGAGGTGATATATTTTATCTCTCTGAATTATTTGCTGTGGTGTGCTGTATGGAGGAAAAAGGAGCACCTTTTATGTGAACATGTTACCTTAAACCTGTAAATACATTTACAAGTCCACTAGGGTCTCACACTGAAAGATAAGCCAAGTTAGCCTGGCTTATTCCTGCCAACCATCAAACACTGGAAAACAACAGCATTGATCCCCCTGAGTCTCTCTAGAGTGTACTGGGCCATTTCATGTATGCCCCCAGGTCACTGTGAGCCCCTTGCACTGCTTAACCCACAACCAAAGGTTTGCCTTGATGCATCAGTAGGGAGAAAACAGTGGCTAAAGGCCAAGGAAGACTGATCAAATCCTGGGCATAAGGCAGCACAAGGCTTCCACCAGTTCATTGTTGCTTATTTGATCAATTCACTAATTGTTTACTAACTTGTTGAATGAGAATAAATGTGTGTATGTCAATAAACAAGTGACTCATGATTTTCTTGATTGTCTCTTATTTGAACTGGCTCTTTGCTGTGATCCGAGTCAAAAATCTAAATTAAAGAGCAATCTCACGTGTAATAATTGTCATTTGGTTTAAATAGAACAGATACATTCACAAAAGTTCACCAAGTATGTTTACTGCAGTGCTTTTTGCAATGCAAACAAAGTGTAATCAGTCAGGACTGTTTACATAATTTTTATGTGCATTTCATTGACATAAATAATACACAAACAATCTATAAATTAGAAAGATAAGGTGATATTTACCTGAGCCAAGCCAAGGACTAGCCTGGAAGTTCAGTGTCCACTGGGTAAGAAAGTACTCTGTAGAAGCGTGATTTACAGCATGGTTATATACCATTTCAGAGCAAAGAATATACACGATAGGAATACAATTCTGTTTGTCTCAAAGTCATAAGGAGAGGTTTTGCTGGAATTTAGCAGATACACAGTAGATCAACTTGACCTTGGTTTTCCTGGAAGAAAAGCTTACCTTCAAAGAGGTGCTGGTATTGGTATCAGAGGAAGGGAATCATTCACCCCTATCTTTAAAGAGTGCA